ATCACGTCTAAAAGGCCTAGAGAAGGTACATTTGTGAGTGCCCTCTTGATTTCTCTGAAGGCTTTCTCTTGTTCCTCTTTCCATACTAAGGGTTCCCGTTCTTCCCCCTTTGTGGCTTCATAGAGGGGTTTGGCCAAAAAGGGAATAGTTAGGGATCCAGATTCGGCAGAAAACTGTGGCTCCCAAAAACTCTTTGATTTGCCAGTGGGTCTTGGGGGCTTGAATGGAACAGACAGCTTGTTTCCTCTCAGACAGAGTCTGCGTTGCCCTTAGGACAGGTGAAAGCTGAGGTATTTGATGTCAGCTTGACAAATCTGGGCCTTTTTCTGAGAAATTTTGTATCCTGCCACCCATAAAAGAGAGAGAAGCAAGAGTCTCTTCCATATAGTCATCACAGGTTGGTCCAGCCAGCAAGAGGTCAGCCACATACTGGAGGAGTGTGTAGCTGTGCTAGTTGGCTGAGACAACTTTGAGGTCAGATGCCAAGGCAATTCTGAAGATAGTGGGGGAGTTTTTGAAGCCTTGCAGCAATTGAGTCCAAATTAATTGTCCCTTTTCTCCAGTATTGGATTTTCCCACTGGAAGGCAAAAAGAAGCTGGCTCTGTGGGGCCAGGGAGATGCAGAAAAATAAGTCCTTAAGATCTAGGCAAGTAAAAAACTTTGCCTCTACTGGGACAGGGCCTAATTAAGCATGTAGGGATTCAGGACCACAGGGTGCAGAGTAATGGTTGCTGAATTTACTGCCCAGAGGTCCTGAACTGGCCTGAAATCCTCAGTCCCCGATTTCCGGATGGGTAATAAGGGGGTGTTCCAGGATGACTGGCTAGGTTGAGGAACCCATATTTTAGGAGTCTGTCAAGGTGTTTTTGAATTCCAACCTGGGCCTTGTGGGAAATGAAGTACTGTTTTTGGCTGACTTGGATGGCTTCCGGCTTTAGTTCCACCACTACTAGGGCAAGTTTTGGGCCAGACCTGGGGTGTTATCTTCTGCCCATACACCTGGAATCTTGAACAGAGGCTCAGAAATCTCAGACGACTGTCCTTCAGGGGCATAGAGCCGCCACTCCTCTTCTTATATGACCGTGAGGGTTACAATTCTTGCCTCAGGTCCTCTCAGTTTGTCAGAATTAAAGGTTAATCTGTGCCCTCAATTTACATAACAAGTCTGTACCCATTAAGGCAATGGGGCAATCAGGGAGATAAAGGAACTCCTGCTTTACTTCTTGATTCCCAAGATTGCATTGTCTAGATACTAAGAAGTGGTGGCAGGCCCAGTTCCCAATAGTCCCAATTATAGTTGCATGCTTCTGTGAAGGGGGGCCCACTGGCTGGGTCACAATTGAATGTTTTGTGCTCATATCCATCATGAGATCAATGGGATGGCCCCCTGTCTTCATTCGGACCATAGGCTCCTGGGGGCCCAGTACAATGGAGCCCAGTCTGTCCTATTCCTCCTCATGGCCTTCCAGGGCGCCAGTCTGGTGATGTTTTTCCCAGAAGCTGGCTTCCCCACCTATGGGTTGACACTTTCCCTTAACAACTCAGCCTTCGCCCCTGGTCTGGGGGGCCTTCTGGGAGTCCCTGGCCCATTGGGAACTTTCATTCTTCCAGTGCCCTTCCTGACAACAGTAGGCTCATTTATTTCACCCTAGTTCCTCCCTAGGGTGAGGGCATCCTGGGGGTGCTGGTTGCTGTCTGCCTCTGGCAGAGGTGATTGCCTCTACCTGGATTAGCCTCCTGGGCCTGCCTGACTGTTCAGCAAGGGCTGCTGCAAGGAGGTTCATTTTCCTTTTCATCTTCCTGTCAACCTCCCGTTTTGCTTCCTGATCCCGATCGACAAAAACCTCTGTGGACACCTCCAGAAGCTGGCTAGCATTCATTCCTGCAAATCCCTCTAATTTCTGTAATTTTCACCTTATGTCCCCTTGAGCCTGGCCAACAAAAGTGGCGTTTATCACCTGCTGGTTTTCAGTGGCTTCTGGGTCAGAAGGGGTGTACAAGCGGAAGGCCTCACACAGGTACTCACGAAACTGGCTGGGACTCTTGTCCAGCCCTTGGAGGACTTCTGATGTTTTACTCATGTTCATGACTTTTTCCCTCCCTCCTTCATGCCTCCCAATAGTCATCAGGAGGCACTCCTGATGACATGCAAGTCGTTGGTAGTCTTGGTCATCATTAGGGTCCCAGCGGGGGTCTTCCTCAGGGAACTGAGCCTGAGCATAGGCTTGGGCATTTAAGACACCAGCAGGGGCATAGTCTTCCAGCCAGGGTAGAGTCACCAATCCTATACAGTGTCACTCTTCAGTATTAGAGTCAGAAGAAGCCGTCGACAGCCTGTTCACGTGGGTTTATGAGTCTGGATGATAGACTGCATCAAATCAATTAGAGCCTGAAGTTTTTCTGTGAAGGAGGGAGTATGATTTTTCCAGTTTAGGAGGTCTGCGATGGTAAAGGGCTGGTAGATGAATGTCTGCCCTCCTCCTTGCATGTAACTGTGCTTGCTAGAGAAGCCTTGGGCTTCTCTCAGGGGCATCTGCAGAGCTGTAGGAGTCTGAGGAGAAAAGGGGTCCTTGTTGGGATTGGTTGGGTACCCCCAATTGAATGGAGGGTATGGGGTGAGAATTGGCAGACTTGGAGTGGACTTAGGATATGTAAGACCCAGGGAAGTCATGGGAGTCGAGGTCCCTGAGGCTTCAGGGCCAGATTTTACAGGTGTGATGTCCCCATCTGACGTCAAAGGCGAGGGTACAGAACTGGGTGCCGATGGCAGTGTTGGATAAAGAGGTACATAGGGCTGTAGCATTTCCTCAGTCTCCTTGGCCTGTACAGGGTCATTTGGCTTCTCCTTACACTTGGAAGTTGTAGCTACCCTAGCTACCGTGATCCTACAGATCTCTTCCAGACAGGGTGTTAGCCTCGCAGGCTGGCTGAGAACCACATCCTGCCAGCAATCAAACTGACCTGGGTGTCCAGGATTCCCTACAATTACCTCATAAACATCATTAACTACAGTCTTGCTTAGTGATCCTCCCAGGGGTCACCTTACACAGAAAGCGGGCCAATCTAATTCACAAAGGGTCCTAATCTTGTTAGGAGTTAACTTGACTCCAGTCTCCATTAAATCCATTTTTAAAGTTTTTAAGCATACACTGCAAGGGGTGCCTTTATTATGATTTCCACCCATTTCCTCCTGTTACCAGATGTTAAGACAGAAATGGAGGAGTAGGGAGATTTGGAGAAGAGGTAAGGGCTCCTCTTCTCCAACACACATAGAACAATATGTGCCCCTTATTGGTGGTTACCTAGCCAGGAACTGCACCTACACAGGGTCTTCACTTACTTCCTCCATCTCCCCTCTCGGGGATTCATGCATTTTTTAGCTGTAGTGAGTCTGTGTAGTCCTCCATGCCAGAGGCACTGTTAGGGCTCACCCTGACCACTTGAGTTTGCCATGGACCTGAGGATTGGGACTCCAGATTCATTTTGTAGCCAGGCCATGTTTCAGACTCTCCCACACATACACATTTATGCTCACACATTTCCGCCCTGCTCCCTGAACATGCTTTCATACTCAATAGGACTACTTGGGTGTCTCTGCAAGGTGATTAGGCTCCCCTTCTGCCTGGGTTCTTACCAGTCTGATGGGCAGGGCTCCCAATTGGTTCCTGAGCCTTTTCTGGGTATCTTTGTGCAATCAAGATTTGTTCTCTGGTGTGCCAGGAGAGGTGAGTCCCTCTGTTGGATCAATAGGTCTGTTGGTGCCTGGCAGGATGCTCTACTGACATACTGGGGATGCCGAGTCCCAGCGTCAAGAAGAGGAAAACACCATCTGTGAATCCCAGACAAACCCCCAGAAATGTTGTGGGATATTCAAGCAGGAAACGGGACACCAAGGCTTTTTAAGGAAGCAGTATTTATTAGCATGCCGGCAGCAGCTCAGTGGATTCCCATCCAAAGACTGAGCCCCGAGAACAATGGGGCCTTGTCTTATATACCCTTGCAAGCAGGGTACAGAAGCAAGAAGCAAAGTTTAACCCGTATATGGTTGTTTGGATCTCTATTGACTGCTTCACCCTCAGTGCTACGTGACCTTCCTCACATTCAAATTCTGCTGTTGTCCCCTCCTCCCTGCTACATCTTGAATTTTTTTAACTCTCTTCATGTGTAAGATTTTTAAAACTTGCCATCCCTTATTACGTTTCTAATCATGAACATTAAGGTCATTTCTAAGCTTATTATTACAAACAATGCCATAGCATTTTTTGTGTATGTTATTCTGCATTCATGTGAAGACAACTCAAATTCCTGGAGGTAGAATTGTTAAGTTTACCTCCAGAGGAACTTTCCATTTTGGACTCATACCAAGCAATGGTTTGGTATGAATGTGCAGTAAGAATGCCTATTTCCCCTTTTCCCACTTTGTGTGTATGTGGTGCTGGAGACTGAACTAGGATCTTGCACATGACAGCCAAATGCTCTAGCCCTGAGCTGTATCCCCAGCCCCCCACACTCTTGCAAGATTAAAAAACATACCACATAATATGTATGAAGAAAACAAAACAGAACAAAAATCCTTTGTCTCTTCTGAAGAAAATTTATATGACATTATCCATTTTTTTTTTGGTGGTATTGGTTTTTTTTCTTTTTTTTGGAGTGGGGGGGTGGTGCTGGGCCTCACACTTGCTAGGCAGGCATGTACCACTTGCCTCTCCACCACTCCACCAGCAAAAATAAATAAATAAATTAATTAAATTAAATTTTGGATGACACTGGGAGATTTGCACTCAGGGCTTTACACTTGCCAGGCAGGCACTTTACTGCTTGAGTCATGTCTCCAGTCCAAAACAAACAAACAAACAAAAACAGATTGGGGTGAGGAGAACATGGATGGAGGATGGGAGAGTTTGGAGGTGGGAGGGTGAGAGGTTTAAGCCAGGGAGGAGGTGAACATGATCAAAAAACTTCATATGCATATATGAAAATAGAGTAATAAAAACTGTTTAGAAATTGAGGCAGAGGTGTAACAGTAATAGAGGGGTGAATAAGATCAAATACATTATATGCATGTATGGAAATATCACAATGAAACCCCTCTGTGAATTAATATATGCTAATAAAAAGATAAAAAAAAAAAAGCAGAGTGTGGTGGTACACATTGTAATCTCAGCTAGGCAAGAGGCAGTTAGAATTATGGTTAGAAACTGGCCCTGGTTAAAAAACGTGAGAGAGGTTCAGTTGGTGGAGTGCCTCCCTAGCAAGTGCAAGGCCCTGAGTTTCATCCCCAGTATCACCAAAAAATTTAAAAATAAGGTCTTTGTGATGAATTGCAATTATTTGTTCCCTCAGCTGCCATGTCTTCAAACTTTGCTTTAGATGGTTCTGCTATGAAAATCTTAATTTCCTTAATGTTTATTACTTTGCAGTGCTGGGGACTGAACCCAGGGCCTTGGGCATACTAGGCAAGTGCTCTATCACTGAGCTACATTCTCTGCCCGTTTTTTATAAGACAGGACTTTGTTATGTAACTGAGGTTTGCAATCCTCCTGCCTCAGCCTCCCAAGTACTGGGATTACATAGCCAATTATTACTTAATGTATAGTAAAATATACAAAAGTCAGTTTTTAATAATTCCTTTAATTCTCAGATTCTCAACATCTGCATTGCTGTAGTATCAAGAAATGATACATTCCCATCTCTTTCACAAAATGAGAGGAAAAAATAGAACATTTTTTGTTAGTTTCTAACAAAAAGCCACACATGGTAGAAATAGCAGAAAGGCCAATAGAGAAATTAAAATTTATCTTAAAACCAACTGGCCAGGAAAACTTCTTCATAGACAAGTGGTTAAATATATCAATTTTAAATATATCATACCATGGGCTAATTTTTTCTTTCTTTTCTGGTCATGAACTATTTCAGAAAGACTTAATTAGGTAACTTTTAACTCAAGGAGTTCCAGCAGTGTCTACCTTAAAACATTAAGTGAAACTGCTCACTCAATTGAACATTGAATATCAATTAAGTATTGCTCTGGTAAGACAAATATTAGTCTGTTTCAGACAAATTTGGTTAGTTTCTAACTACACTTCACTACAATCATTATTCACAGAATTTTTTTTGAGAAAGGATAAACTTTAAATTTGCAGAGTTCGACCCAATCAGTAGTCACATAGATGCCATCATATATGCAAAAAATGGCTGAATTTTGTGAATTCCAGTCACAAAATCTGAAAGAAAAAAAATTAATGACAAATAAAAATACTGACAAATTAAAGCTAGAATTCATGCCAGGATGTTTTATTGTATAATTACATTAAACAAGTGAGTTAGACATCAGCAGAAATGCTGGTAAAACTATTGTTTGCTTAAAGTTGTTCCTATTAACGAAACAAAAGCTCAATAGACTCTAAGTTAAATTTCACAAAATGAAATCAATACCTTTTAACTAAACTTTCAGGAATGAGATAGGGCAAAACCCGTGCATCCTGTACTGAGGCACTGGGGTTTGAACTCAGGGCCTCATGCTTTCTAGGCAGGTGGTCTTACAGGTGGCCATGCCACCAGCCTATTCAACAAGGTCTCGCCAGCTATTTGCCCCAGACTGGCTTCAAACCACAATCCTGATCTCTGCCTCCTGAGCAGCTAGGATCACAGGTGTGAGCCACCAGTGCCCAACTGCATCATACTTTCTATTTCTGTCCATAAACACAAAGTCGAGTCAATAGAGTAGTAATATAAGGAAGTAAACACATGGTTGTTTCAGGTTCTACAACATATTGTCATATAACTTTCCTACAGTAAATCCCCCCTCCCCCCCTTTTTTGGAACCAATCAATAGAAATGTGAATTCCCCAAAATTGAAATAATTTTGATTTTTACACCAGACACTAGTCAAAAGCTGTGAAACTAAAATGTTTTCTGTGCCATTTAGCAAAGGAAGAGGGAGAACATTATGTCCAAAGGCACCTGCTACTCCATCTGGTCATTGTGATTACCCATTCAGTTTCAATGCCCCAAACTGCCATTCTGCCCCAGCCCCCATCCCAACTCTTAACTTCTGCAGAAAGAATCTAGTTTCCTTTCTGTAACTGAATTTCAATTTTCTAGAAAACTTGGATTTAATGTTGATCCTAATCCATTTTAAGGAAATGGTTATAATGCTTAAAATTTAACTACACTAGAGATGAAAACTAGTTACTTTAGTGTTATGATACATTTTGAGTATTCCTTAAACTTTTAAACCCTACATGAACTCCTTAGTCACTTGATGTAGTATTACTTGCTTTGATTACTATTCATGACAATAAGAGCAAAAAGGCCATAAAACATGCATTTTTGGAAAGAGAATGGCTCTTGAAGACTTCTTGGGCTTGATTAAAGCATTTTTATATCCATAAAACTGTCAAATTTAGTACACATCACAGTCACTAATAATGAAGGATAAGAACCTTTGCTTATCACTTAGTTTTGCAGAAACACATTAGTACATCTTTAGTTCTTTAGCTAACGATAATGACTGTGCCTACAGAGTAGAAAGTGACAAATTTATAAAGATTCTGTAACAGAAAAAAGAGCTTTACAACCCAGATTTACTAGGTTACAAAACACTCCCTTTACTCACACATTACTTTGTGTATCTCTGAAACATTTGAAAAATACTTTTCTGTGAATTACTAGGCTGTAGGGAATAAGTACTTTTAGTTACATTACAATTGTTTCTAGTAGAACTTGGCATCTTTCTTCCATTAACTGAATGCTTCAACTGGGTTTTGAAAGCAGGTTGCCAATTTTCATCTCTTGAGCCTCTCTGGGGTCTCGAATGCTCTGTACCAGTTTGCTTTTTGAAGTTTATCTTTGGAATTCTTCCTCTGTCCATTTAGCAGTATGTCTGGAGGTGATGATGTACGTAACTGATACTCATCTGGGGATCCTTTCTGCCGGTTTGGTGTCAGTTGTTCTTTATCTACCTCTTTCTGAAGTTGTAAGGCTAATAATCTGTCCTGTTCTTCTTGTTTGCGTCTCTCAAAAAGTAGATGCTCCAAATCAATCAGTTTTTGCGTAAATTTTTTTTCTGTTTCCTCTTGATCTGAGGAAGATTTGGGGTACATTTTCCTTCTTTTTGTAGGAAAGCATGTATCCCTGACTGCTTCAAACAAAGATTCCTCATTTTTTCTTGTGGACGTATCTTTACTGATCAGTAAGTGAGACTCTTCATTTTCGGCTGGAACTGTGTTGTCTCCAATATTCTGTGTCATACCTGACATAGTACACCCATTCTCTGTTTTGCCACAAGGCTTAACTGCAGCTTCATCAGAGCAGGGAACTTTGGTTTTAGGTCCCTCGTGATTTACGATACATAACTCTTTATCATGATTACTTGATCTTGTTTTGACTTTTCCTTCAAGGTACTGTTCTGCATCACAGGCACATAACCATGGCACAGGTGACTCTAGTAAAGACTTTGCACCTTGTTCTTGAGTTTCAGGGCATAATTGGGGAGAAAGCGTTGGCATATCTTCTTCAGTTTTGGTGTCTTGGCTCTTCACATCACCACAGTCAATTTCCTGTAGAAAACAGAAAATTACTGAGTATACAAGGGGAAAACATCAATCATAGTATGTAAGTCTAATCATTTGGACACTATAGCTGCCCTGTCACTATACATTATTAAGTATTACCAGTAAGGGATGTTCTGTCTACCTATCTGTCTCCATGCTGGGGATCAAACACAGGTCCTTGCACATGCTAGGCAAGTACTGTACTCTGAGCTACATTCCTAGCCATAATCTTTTTTTTTCCTTTTGGTGGTATTGGGGTTTGAAATCAGGTCCTTGTGTTCTACTGTTATAGGAAACTCAAACAGAGACATGGGACTCTTAGGTGAGGAAGCAACACTTTATGCTAGCACAGAATCAGTGTACTCGTGTTCAAAGGCTGAGCCCCAAAAACAAAGGGGTCTTACCTTATATACCCTTGCAAGCAGGTTACAGAGGCAAAAGGCAAGGATTAACCCATATGTGGTTATATGTAACTCTGTTGGCTACTTCACCCCCAGTGCTACATGACCTTCTTCACATTTTAGATTTTTAAGTTTTATCTCTCTGCTATGCCATCCCTTCCCCACTAGTACTTTATCAGAACACTGGCCTGTTTCTTTTCTGGCCCTCCTCCTTGCTACACTACCACTTGTGCCACACTTTTAGTCCTTTTTTGCTTTAGTTATTTTTCAGATAGGGTCTTGTGCTTTTAGCCAGGGGCTGGCCTTGGATTGGGACTTTCTTATCTAAGCTTCCTGCACAGCTATAATTATAGGCATGCATGCCTGTCTTATTTTGTTGAGATGGGCCTTATCTGAGGACTGGCCTTGAAACTTGATCCTCCTGATCTCTGCCTCCTGTGTAGATGGGATTACAAATGCAAGTCACCATACCCAGTCAACTAGTTAGTTAATTTATCTTTCTGTCTCTCGCTCTTCTTTTTTTTTTTTTTTGTGGCACTGAGGGCTGAAACCCAGGTCCACGCACATAATAATTCTTTCTAAATAGTACTTTTATCCTGTGTGCCAACTTAGATTAAGATATTCATTCACTTTCAATTCCATGAAAACCTACAGATATTATTATTATATTATTATTACATAGCATATTATATTATAGTTGGCTGATAACTGGCACCAGGGTCTGACCCTTAGCTGAGGGGTTTTTCACTCCTTTCTGTGCTGTGGACTCTCTTTTGGTATTTTAGTGAAGCTTTCAGAGTGACCTCTTCTGAGAACACTTTATTTACTTTGAAATGAGGTCACCAATACTGTTAACAGTACCATGGTTTGCTATCTACATTCAATTAAAAGAGACACTAAAATTAGAGGTTATAGAAAGGCTTTGTGGGGAGGGATAAAGGAGAATGATGGAGGGAGGGAGTTCAACTATAATACATTATAAGAACTTTTTGTAAATGTTACAATGTACCCCCAGTACAACAATATAATAATAATAATAAAGAATTCTTAAGAAAAAAAGGGTTTGATGCTGAGTACCAGCGGCTTACACCTGTAACCCTAGCTACTTAGGAGGCAGAGATCAGGAGGGTTGTGGTTCAAGGCCAGCCAGCCCAGGCAACAAAAGAGAGACCCTATTTCAAAAATACCCAACACACAAAAAAGGCCTGGCAGAGTGGCTCAAGTGGTAGAGCACCTGCCAAGCAAGTATGAAGACCTGAGTTCAAGCCCCAGTACTGCACAAAAAACAAAACAAAAAGGCTTCGATTAGAATTTTGTCTCAAAACAAAAACTACTCCTTTATGTTGGAGTCACCTATTCTTTTGCCTATTTTGATTACCGCCTATCAGTCCTGATGGTTGTTTTTAATGAACCAATGTGGTTTAGATTGGCCAGATTCTAGAATGCTCACTCAGTTTTGCTGTGAATATGGTATTGGGGCAGGAAAATATCCCAGCCTATAATGCTTCTTCCATCAATCCTTAGTTCCAGTATGAGCTGCACTATCTGGACTTAAAACCTTCCTTTTAATAGCTTATTTCAGGGAGTTTAAGCAAGTCTCTTACATGCTTTGTGCCTCAGTTTCCTTAAGTATAAAATGGGTACAAGGTTAATTACTTTACAGATTGCTAGTTGAGATGAAGATTAAAGACATCTATAAACACATGGCAAATAGTGAGTGTTCATTAAATGTTAGGTGGTATAAATTATCTAGCTGAATTGAAAAGATGTTAGGAACCTGTGAGGAAGGAGTTAACAGAAGTTCTAGGTGGGTAGCTGGTCGGAGGTGGTTCACACCTGTAGTCCTAGCTACTTAGGAGGCAGAGGTCAGGAGGATCACAGTTCGAAACCAGAACAGGCAAATGGTTTGTGAGACCCTATTTCAAAAAAAAACAAAAACCCTTCACAAAAAAAGGGCTGGTGGAGTGGCTCAAGGTGTAGGCACTGAGTTCAAGCCCCAGTATTACACACACACACACAAAATTAACATTGGGATGAATTCCCATAATAGTAAAATGTCACCTGTGTTACTAAGCCACACAGCTTATGGTAAAAGGGACCCTTGACCAATGAACTGCATAAGAACACTCTAAAAATACCTAGAAGGAAGCCAAAGCTTGAAGTGACTTATAATTCTTTTGACTGGGTGTGTTTCTTTCCAGGACCTGTGGACACTACACCCTTCACTATTACCAGAAGTAATTAACATTCATTCATTCATGTGAGACAGGTCTCACTATGTAGCCCAGATTGGCATCAAACTTGTGATCCTCCTGCCTCAGCTTCCTGGGTGCTGGTATTCTAGGTGTGTACCACCATACGCACTTGTTTGGTCTTGTTCCTAGGCCCTCACTTAGAAATGTGGCTAAGGGCTCCTGCTCAATGCTTGATGTTGCCTACTAGCACACTTTATTTCCCATCATAAAATCTTCGAAGTGAAGTTGGTGCTTCAGTTCTGCAAGTTAGCTTATCTAGGTCAGGCATCAGGAAACTATGGCACATGGGCTAATCCAGCTTGCTACCTATATATGTAGAAATTCTACTGGAAGCACAGATAAGCTCATTTCTTTACATACTGACTATGGATTTTGTCACACTAAACATCATGGTTGAGTAGCTGTGAAAGACTGTATTGATGGCAAAGACTAAATTATTTCTACCTGCCTTCAGAGAAAAGGTTTGTTGATCCCTAGTGTACGTGAACCTAAGATGATGAAGGAAAGGTATTCCATTAACCATGGTGCCCTAAAAACGTTAGGAAACTGCAGGAACCAGTAATCTATGGCATTAATAAATGCCTGACCAAGGATATCTTCAGTATCAACGTACCTTATATACAGAGTTTTCCCTGTCTTTTTGTACAACTTCAGGCTGTGATGGTGACCCAAATTGAGATTTAGGAGATAAATACCTTAAAAAAAAAAAAAGTTATTTGAATGCTTTGAAAGCCATGATATGTATTCAACATCGTAAAGTCAGATTAACTACTTATGTCTAAGTTATGTCTGGTTTGCTGACTGGCTAATTTGTCACAGAGTATTTCTTTTCCAAGTCTCAGGCTTTTTTTTTTTTTTTTCCCAATACCAGGGCTTGAACTCAGAGCCTATACCTTGAGCCACTCCACCAGCCCTTTTTGTATTAGGTATTTTGTACAGTCTTGTGAACTATTTGCACAGGCTGGCTTCAAACCTCAATCCTCCTGATCCCTGCCTCCTGAGTAGCTAGGATTACAGGTGTGAGCAACCAGTGCCTGGCACATTTTGGTTTTTAACACCAAAACTTAAACCTTGAGTATTGCAGGACTGGGGGTGTAGCTCAGTGGAAAAGCATTTGCCCAGAATGCTTGAGGTCCTGGGTTCCATTTGCAGCTCTAAAAAGCAAACAAACAAAAAAGGTCAAGCTGGGTGCCAGTGGCTCATGCCTGAATCCTAGTTACTTGGGAGGCTGAGATTGGGAGGATCAGGGTTTGAAGCTAGCCCCAGGCAAATAGTTCTCCAGACCCTATCTCAAAAACAAAAAAACCCATCTCACAAAAAGGGCTGGCGAAGTGGCTTAAACTATAAAAGCATCTGCCTAGCAAATGTGAGGCCCTGAGTTCAAACCCCAGTGCTACCAAAAAAATATAAAGTCAAAAGTAAATGTTTAACTCTTGAAGAAAAAATTTTTATACTCGGATAGCATCAAAAAATGGAAGACTATATAGTCTTTCCAAAATTAACAGAAATGACATTTTAAGTCAGGAGAAGAGTATTTGCATTTCTTTGTTATACCAGAAACAGGCTGTTTACTACATTTTTTTCTTAAAATATGTATAGCCTGAGAAAACAGCTTTCAGTTTTCCTGCAGGGCTATGCACTGAATCCAGAGCCTCCTGCATGCCAACAACACACTTGTAACTATTTCTTTATGTTTTTCTACTCAGGAGGTGGAGACTGGGAGGACAGAAGTTTGAGGCAAGTCTGCCAAAAAGTTCCTAAGGTCCCATCTCAACCAATAAAAACTGAATGTAGTGGTAAGTGCCTACCATCCCAGCTATTTGGGAAGTATAAACAGGAAGATAGCAATCCAGGCCAGTCTGGGCATAAAGCAAGACCCTATCTCCAAAATACCCAGAACAAAAAGGACTGGGGATATGGCTCAAGTGGTAAAACAACTTCCTTGCAAGCGTGAAGCCCTGAGTTCAAACCCCAATACCATAAAAAAATAAACAAAAAAACCCAAAAAAAAAAACAAAAAAAGTGCAAATCTGCCCAAAAAAAGTATTCGGGAGAAAAGCATGCCAAGTTTCACATCTCTTTTCATGTTAGCCAGGAAGGAAGTATTAAGTAATTCTTTTCACTTCTTAAAAATATTTCTTTGGAGTACTGGGCATTGAATTCAGGCCCTTGCACATGCTAAGGAAACTGAGTTACATCCCCAGTCCTTTTGTTCACTTTATACCAACCTTAGATTATCTTCAGGGTTTCATGCAAGTTCACAGAAAAACCTTTGATAATTAGTGGTCAATAGGAACAAAAAACTCAAGGGTACACAGTAGACAGTCAATAAATAATTGACAGTCATATTCACTTACTTCTGAATATCTCCAGTGTTTCTTTCTTTGTTCTTATTTTTCTTTTGTGACTTGGCTGTGACTGGATCAGATTTTCTGGAACTCAAGGGAGAAGCCAAGGTATTTCCCTCAAAGAAATTGTTCTTCAACAATAAGAAAAGCATAAAAGACATTATTAAAGAGAACTTTACGATGAAAGAAACTATGGATTAGATTAATTCAGAATCCATAGAAACTTTAGGAATCATCCTTATATTTAAGTTCTGTAATTCTTTGAAGCATACTGAACATGAATGAACTCTTTCTTCATTATTATCCCTTAAATGATACAATACAGCAACTATTTACGTTGTATTAGATATAAATGACTTGAGTATCCTAAACAAAATTAAGTTCATCTAAGTTAGCCTAAATTACATTTTTACTATACAATATGAAGCACACAAAAAAGTCATGAAGATAGTAATCTCACTAGCTAATAGTTTCATGTAATTACAACTACCTTAATCTGTAGAGAAAGCTCAAAGAGCTATGGATACCAGGAGTAAAAGTTATTCTTACTTAGAAATTAACTTGTTGTAATTGTTCACTATCATCAAACCATTACACTAAGGCCAAAAAATTATTGTAAAATTTTTGATGGTATTAGGGTTTAAACTCAGGGCACTCAACTTACTAGGCAGGCACACAACCTCGTGAGCTATACCCTCATCCCAGTAAATCTACTCTTACAATCACATGTGAGAACTACAAGGATTGAAATAACAGTTATTTGAACCAGGAACCAGCTCATACCTGTAGTCCTACCTACTTGGGAGGCTAAGATTAGGAAAATCGCAGTTCAAGGCTAGCCCAGGCAAATAGTTTGGGAGACCCCATCTCCAAAATAACCCGAGTAAAATGGACTGGAAATGTAGCTCAAACATTACAGCATCAGCTTTGCAAGTGTGAAGCCCTGAGTTCAAACCCCAGTCCCACCAAGGATACTTTTTTTTTTTTTTTTGCAGTACTGGGGCTTGAATTCAGGGCCTTCACCTTGAGCCACTCCACCAGCCCTATTTTTTGTGAATGGTTTTGTGAGATAGGGTCTCATAAACTATTTGCCTGGGCTGGCTTCAAACTGTGAGCCTCCTGATCTCTGCCTCCTGAGTAGCTAAGATTACAGATATAAGCTCCCAGTGCCCAGCTAAGAATAGATACTTGAAAGACAAGGTATAGGTGACTACAAATTCTCAACATTTTTTCTTCCCTATTAACATTTATTATACCATTGACCAATGTCTTTAATTTCCTGATGTGTTTCTCAATGTACTCTACTCAAATTGAAAACAGAAAGGATACTTAAAAATAGGCATCCAACCCACAAAACTTGAAAATATTATGATGAACGGTAGCATTCTCAAAAAAGGAAAAATTATCCCAATTCTAAGTAAATCTCACTTTGGTGATTATACTTTAAGGTATGTGTTGTTTGAAAGCAAAGGGATCATTTTCAGAGGTTCTCCAACTAAATGTCTGACATCCTCAGATGACTCTTAGCAGCCCCTAAGTCTCACCTGCAGAGATTCCAATTCAGAAGATTTCAATTTGTACTTTAAGAGTGAGTGTGTACTTTAAAAGAATCCCAGGTGATTCCTCCAGGTTCTTTTAAGCCACTGGGTGCTACCATCCTTTGGTCTTAAAGTATGTGTTTTATAATTCTGCCTTTCATTTCTCATAGGAAGCAATCTAACGAAAGTAAGATAATATAAAAATGTCTCATATACCAAAGTTTGTTATTAAAAAGTTTTGTATTAAATAGAGCAAAAATATCCTGAATAGCTTCTAATTATGATAGTTTCTTCAGTTCTTTGAAAACCACATAGTGAAAGCAATAGGGATGATAATATTTAATAGTTCTCTCCTAAAACTTACCATTATTGCAGGGCACCAGTAGCTCACACCTGTAATCCTAGTTTTTTGGGAGGCAGAGATCAGGAGGATCTCAGTTCCAGGCCAGCCCAGGCAAAAAATAAGACCCTATCTCAAAAATACCCAACACAAAAAAGGGCTGGTAGAGTGGCTTAAGTGGTAGAGGGCTTGCCTAGCAAACATGAAGTTCTAAGTTCAAACCCCAGTACCACCCAAAAACTTACAATATTAATACTCAGTTTTCTTGCTAGCTCTTCATCATTTTTCAGTTGTTCTTCCATCTCACTTCGCCTTTGTGCTGCCTGTCTTTTTTCCTCTTCTTCGTCCTCTGCCAACAATCTCTGTATATATTCTTCACTGGCCTTGTTTTCTTCTTCCTCAGTGGCTCTACGTTCTGCCTCCACCTTAAAAATTAATAAAGAACATGCTTCTCTGAACTTTTTAACATACTTGCAATATTTCATAATAAGAATATTAAAGTACAAAAAAGAACAAATTGGCATTAATTTGATTATCTCAAATGAAGCACAAATCTGGAGAGGCAAATTCCTGTAGAACAAACAGTTCAAGAAGGTTCACTCGAAGGTTTACTCAGGAAGCCTTCCCTAGTTAGTTCAATGAAACCTTGATCAAGACCCATACCTCTTCTCTTGTCAGTCATTATCACAGTTTCTAGGACACTGCCACACATTTGTGGAAGTTTTTCTTGGTAATACTTTCCTCAGTTTATGTAATGCCATGTTCCAAGTAAGGAAGACTTACCTTCCTGAACCAAACCTTAGCAAAAAGGACAGAATGATCAACACTGACCTATACTAATCAGGACCTATCCTTGAAATCAGGATCAATCCCAAACACAGTGAGCAGGAACCGAACAAGTCCTGAACAAGCAGCCACGATGGCCATTGCATGATTTGCAGGGAAGGAAATGGACACAGAAAAGCAAATAACTTTCTTGGATCAGTAAATGGCAGAGGTGAGAGTGCAATTCAGATTCTAGGGGCTAAGGCCATGCTTGTAGTCATTGAACCATATTGCCTAAAAGAAGTAATTATAAGAACCATGTTAACAATCCAAGGTTCTGATTCAAGAATAAGTCTAATTCAAGCAAATGAAGCATAAGGGAACTTTTGTTCAAGAACTTCCATGCTGCTGGTGGCTCAGGTCTGTAATCTTAGCTACTTGGGAGGGTGAGATCAGGATGATCACGGTCTGAAGCCAGCCCGGCAAATAGTTCACAAGACTCCTATCTCCAAGATAACCAGAGCAAAAAGGGCTGGAGATGTGGCTCAAAGGGTAGAAGTCCTACTTTGTAGGTGGTGAAGCCAAGTTCAAACCCCAGTCCCACCAAGGGAAAAAAAACAATTTCTGTATTAAGTTTTCTTGCTCTTAAAAGAAAGCTACGGAGGGCTGGGTTCAGTGGTTTACACTTGTAATCCCAGCTACTTGGGAGGAAGAGATAGGAGGATGGCGGATCAAGGCCAGTCCAGGTAAAAAAGTTAGCAAGACTGTATGTCAAAGAACAAGCCAGGTGGGTGACACATGCCAGTAATCCATAATGTGAGAGGTATAGGTACCAGGATCACTATCCCAGGCCTGCCCTGGCAAAAAGTTTGCAAGACCCTATCTGAAAAAAATGGCAAAAAAGCAAAAAAGGGTTTGGGGTGTGGCTCAAGTGGTAGACTGTCTGTTTAGCAGGCGTGAGACCCTTAGTTCAAACCCAAACACCATCAAAAGTAAGTAAGAAAAGCCACAAGAGAAAAATCTCTACATTATTTTTGAAATTATACACTCATCTTGCTACTGGCCTAAGGATAAAACCAGCTCACAAAAGTTAGCAAAGAAATGGAGATACAGCTCAGGAAGAAACCAACCCTGAAGTCCATACTATCTCTGAAATTCTGATTATAATTTTCGTATTGTTTATATAAGTTTGAGTTTTCTTTTTCTTTTTTTTTTTTTTTTTTGTGGTACTGGGGACCAAACCCAGGATTTCATATACTTGGGCAAATGCTTTACCACTAAGCTATAACCCAACCTAGGTTTTCTTTCCTTGTAGGAAAAAACACCCTATACCACTTGAGCCACTCCACCAAGCAGAGTGCGTGATTGATGTCCTAAGTTCAAGCCCCAGTAATATAAAAAATAAAGTTAAAAGCATCCTATAGAGTCCATTCTCACTGTATTGTAAGGATTAAGTTATTCCTTTAAAAATCCTTACGTATGACACTACTTGGACAACATGCTCAGTTATGTTAGCTAACATAATTACTGATTAGGTCTTTTAGACCTGCACAGTTCAATACAGTAGCCACAAGTTACAAGTATCCACTGAGCACTTGAAATGTAGCTAATCCAAATTTCATTTTATTTTATTTAGTCATTTATTCATATGTGCATACATTGTTTGGGCCATTTCCCCCCCACCGCCCTCCACTTCCTCCCTCTGCCCCCTCCCCCCTTGCTTCTAGGCAGAACCTGTTCTGCCTTCTCCTCCGATTTTGTTGAAGAGAAAACATAAGTCATAATAAGAAAGACCTAGCATTTTTTTGTTTGTTTGCTTTGTTTTGTGTGGTACTGGGGATCAAACCCAGGGCCTTGTGCATGCTAGGCAAACACTTAACCACTGAGCTACATCCCCAGCCCCAACATAGTGTTTTTGCTAGTTTGAGATAAGGATAGCTATATAGAGAGATTCGCAGATTGTTTCCATGCACTTGTGTATTACAACCCGAATTGATTCATCTCTACCAGATCTCTTCACTATCTCCCAGTCACCTTCCCATGGTCACCTCTGTCATTTTAAGGTTACTGTAATAGCTCCTCTACAGTGGACACATCAAACACTTTCAAGTTTTGGGTTTCCTACCTTTCCCTATTCCTCCTGTATGTGTTCTCCCCTTAGTGTGTGACCCATGTCCAATAATATTATTGAATTTGTTTTAGGCCAAATTACATTTTAAGTGCAAATATACAAAAGATTTTAAAGAAAAAATGGTAACATCTACCATTAATTTTTAAATATAACTACATTTAACTAAATTATAATTGTATATTGATTATATGATAAAGTAACATTTTAGATATACTTGGTTAAATACATTTAAATTAACTTTATCTTTTTAAAAAGTTTTTTTGGTCCCCTCCCACTACACCCTCCATGCCAGCTGGGGGTCAAATACAGGGCTTCCTGCATGCTAGGTAAGTACTCTAATACTGAGCTACATTCCCAGCCCTAATAGGATGATGTTGGAGTTAAAACTCAGGGCCTTATGCTAAGCGCTCTACAATTTGAGCCATGTTCCCAGCCCTCTTTGCTTTCAGTTATTTTTCATATAGGGTCTCCCACTTTTGCCAGGGGCTGGCCTTGGATTTTGATCTCCTACCTCTGCCACTGAATAGCTGGAATTATAGTCAACTTGTTCTTTGAGTTAGGGTCTCACTAACTTGTTTGCCCAGGCTGACCTTGAACCAAAATCCACCTAGCTCTACCTTCCAAGTAGCTAGGATTATAGGCATGAGCCACCACTTCTGGCCCTGTGAAAAAGTATTTTTTTAAAAATACAGTCACTGCCAGGCATCAGTGGCTCATTGCCTGTAATCCTAGATACTCAGGAGGCAGAGATCAGGAGGATCAGAATTCAAAGGTAGCCTGGGCAAGTAGTTCCACAGAGACCCCATCTTGAAAATACCCAACTCAAGCATGAGCCCTTGAATTTAAACCCCAGTACCACCAAACAAAGAAACAAACAAAAAAAAATACAGATACTAAGCAGAACACATGGATCACATCTGTAATCCTATAATCCTAGCTACTTGGGAGGCAGACACTGAGAGGGTACAGTTCTATTGGTCAGTACTGTTGACACTAAGCAGACCTGCAGTATTCTCACAGGTTTCACTGCTAGCACTACACCTTCTTTTCCTGTATAGGAACTTCATGATTAGCCATGATGAGATACTTTCCTTCTCTTAACTCACTAGTTTGCGTTCTGCAAGCTGAAAACTTCAGGAAAATGAAAGAAAGTCCCTCCATACTTACATGCATAGGAATTGCTATTACATAAAAACACCAAGTATGTAAATTAAAACTAGTTTATGACTATTTTGAATAAATGCTTAAACATGAAGCCTTTATATAAGGTACGTTAAAATTACTTCAATTTCAATACTGGTATGTATTGAAATTTACAAGCATATATAAAACTATATGTAAAATCGGAGAATGAACATACAAATTAAACAAACACACCCCCCACCCCCCAAAAAAACACCAGAACTACTCAGCACTTACCTTGCTTATCTCCTCTTCATATTCTCTTCTCAGTTCCCCAGGTTGACTTAACAGACGAATTGGCTGATAGTCATCAACTGTTTCACATTAAAAAAGAAAATATTATAGGCAACACAGAACTGTATGACTAATTTTGGCCTCCCACTAAAACTATGTTAATATAAATGCAAAATAAAAATAAATTATATAAAGTTCAAAATTAAAATAAAATTGCTATGGCAATACTATCTTCTCTTGAAATTCTACTTTAAAAGACCCACAGTTTTTGGGTTCCAAGTGGCATACAAATACATATACTTGACCCTTCTTTTAGATACCATTAAAAGTAACAGTAAAGGATAGGACTGGCAATGTAGCCCAGTGGCAGAGCACTTGTCTAGAATGCATCGGACCCAGAGGTTTGATACCTACTACTTCAGAAAGAAACAAAAAACAAAGCTTTGGGTTTTTTTTAAACAAAAATCAAGTAAATATATCTATTTTTATCTAAGAGATTACAGAAGGGGGTCAAATCTCTCCCTCCCTCTCCCTCTCCCTCTCTGTGTGTGTATATATATATATTTTTTTTTTCTCCCCTTTTTCAGACAGTATCTTACTATGTAGCCCAGATTGGCCTAGAACTTGTGATCCTCCTGCCTCAGCCTCCCTATAGCTAGAATTACAGGCATGTACAACTATAGCCAGTCACTAAGAAATTTAAATCAATTTTTTACAAAATGGGAAACCAACGGAGTAGAGGTGAGTGATGTAGCAGAATGAAGGGAACATAACCTGTGGAAGGGAAGTACAGTTGAGGTGAGAGATATTCTGTCTCTATCTGCCAGAGAGCAGGTTATACCCAGAAATTTAATTAAGACAACAGAAGCTAGAGTAAAAAATGTGGGATCAAAATCAGGAGAATTCAAAGTTTTAAAATTTTGAAATGAAAATACTTCACTGAAGGCATTTCTGCCTGGTCATGTGCACAAGTACACACATGCATACTTCTTTTAAAGAAGAAACTGTCTAGAGACAGTCAGAACAATTTACACAGAAGGCAGCGATCCAAAACAAAGTCCTCTGCAATCTAGCAGTTATGGATGGCAAAAGCACAATGGCCGTGCGCAATGAATGATAACATTTCGTTCTTCTTCATGGCTGCATAAAATTCCATTGTGTATAGATACCACATTTTCTTAATCCATTCGTCAGTGGTGGGGCATCTTGGCTGTTTCCATAACTTGGCTATTGTGAATAGTGCCGAAATAAACATGGGTGTGCAGGTGCCTCTGGAGTAACCTGTGTTCTACCAGCCCTTTTTTGTGGGTTTTTTCAAGATAGGGTCTCACAAACTATTTGCCCAAGCTGGTTTCCAACAGCAATCCAGCAATTCCCCTGATCTCTGTCTCCTGAGTAGCTAGGATTACAGGTTCGAGCTACTGCCACCAGGCTGATTTAATCCTTTAAAAGAGTGTTAAAAAAAAAAAAAGTCATCTATAGTGTTACAGGTCAGGATAGTGGAAAGGGACAACAAGGAGAATCCAGGAATTCTGGGAAAGTTCTGGGGCCTCACAAGAATGCTGGTTACATATTTGTATTTACTTGTGTTATATGCCAATAACATTTACATGAAAAACAATACAAAGAGAATCACCTTCTGGAACTGAAAAGATCTGAAGAGATTCATAAGACCTCAAATGAAACAACCATTAGTAGAGAAAATTATAAAAATCAACTATATAAAGTCACTGGAACTCTTCCTAAGAGCATAGAGCAAATAAATGTTACACACACACACACAAACACACACACACACAGACACCAACCCTTCCAAATCACAGAAAAGTGAGTCTAGTTCTTCATCCACCCTGCTCCCACCCTCTGCCCCCAGCTCTACTCCCTATGGGTGTGGCCAAGAAGGGAGGAAAAAAAAAAACAGAAAACAAGTATTCAAATACTTGTTCTTATCAGCAATAATCAGATAACCAAAATGTGGCAAAATCCCACATGAGAGACTGGATAAACAAAACATAACACATGTATTCAAGCCAGAAACAAATAATTGTGATTCCACTTAATAAAATACCTAGAATAGGGAAATTCATAAAGATAGAGAACAGAGGTAACCATGATTGCTCAAGGATTAGTTTATCTGTAGTAGTGAAGTAGTTTTGGAAACATACTGGTGATGGTTACAGTGATGCCACTGAATTGTATACTTATAAACAGTTAAAATGGCACATTTTATTTACATGTATTAAAAAAATTAAAATACCAAAACCCATGAATTTTCACTTTAAATGGATGACTTATGTGGTAGCATAACTCAATAACACTTTTACCATAATAAAGTAAGTAAATAAAAATCAGGTATACCACAGCCCAGGCACTACAGCCAAAGCTTAAACAGGACACACTGAATGGCTTACTGCTTACCATACTAGAGGCAAGCTGCTAGAATCAAGTGTTAAATTTGGGGCTCTTGGGTCAGCAGGCTTTGACTAAAAATGACTCAGCTAAATACAACTGGTAATAGGAAGCTATTTTTAAGCCTGCCACATTCCTAAGAGAACAAAATAGAGACTTAAATGAACGGAAATGTATAGACAAGTAAGTCGGAGAAAGTAATCTGAAGTAAAATATCAACACAGGAATTGATAAATTTTCTTCTGTTGCTGTACACTCGGACCACTGCTTATCTGTGATTATGTATAATTTTTTATACCAACAGGCAACTCCTTTTTGTTTCGTTCATTTTTAACTCAATCAGCAGCAGTCCAACTCAGCTTAGCCATTGTAACAGTGGACAAAATCTTGCCATTGACTTTAACGACATTTTGAGGGCCCATAAACCCAAAACCTCCCAGGACAACTTAGACAAATACTAATCAGATCCCCCTCACCTCTTTTTAAAATGGAAAACTGGTGGTTCACATTTTAAAGGATTTTGGGTTTTTCGGCAATAAACACGGTGGGTTTTTACTCACCAATTTCTTCTGATTCTTGCCCAGAGGCTCTAAGCTTGCATTCCTTTGGATAGTGCTTCTGAATTACCTCCCAGAGTTCCATGTTGATCAGAGAATTTCTTCGGGTATGGTACCGAGTCCACGAAGAGACTCGGCGGCGACAGAAGGGACAGCATAAATTCGCCTTTTCCACAGTTGACTGGAAGCACGAATTACAGAGCGTGTGGTTACAAGGGAGGGTTACGGGCTCCACGAGGATCTCCATACAGATCTGGCACTGGCATTCCGACAAGGAAGGGATGGCGTCTTTGGATACAGCCATTTTTAATGTGCTAATGAGGCCTATTCAACACCAACACCTGGAAGAGGAATCGTATTTTCGGCCAACCACAGAGAAAGCAAATTAACAGCTTCGTGTTTAAATATTACGCCCAACCACATACGAGATACCAGACATTAGGAGCTTTAACCACGACTTCAGGCAAAAAGGCGCAGGGTTGGCCGGCCTGGCAGTGTATCTGCCCCTTATAAAGACAAACAGTCCGCAAGAAAAATCAATGAACGTTTTCGTGGGGAAGCGTGGCTGCACGCGGCAGTGACCACACGGCTGCGACGGGGCGGACAGGGGGCTCTGAGTCCCGCGTCAAAGCCCTTGGTTCTCCTCACCAGGTCAGGATGCTCCGCTCCCCTTCGCTCCCGAGCTGCCCTAGGCTGCCGAGGCGAGAAGCCCCGAGGACACAGCACCGAGAACGCCGCCGCTACCGCCCGGACACCGGGCTCCGGCTGGAGCAGAACTTCCGTTTTACAGTTGCTGTAGGGGGCAGCCCGCGAGCCCCCGCGTTCCAACTTCTGGGCGCCTCGTAGTTTTCCAGGGCTCCAACCCCGGCCTGCCCCTAACCTCTCTTGTCTGCCAAACGCGTAATTGCCGCAGGAGCTGCTAGCCGCCAGCTAGTGACGCCACAACTGCCCGCCAAAACCGCACTGCCCATCCAGAGAACCGTCCAAAGGCAAAAGCGCCTAACTTCCGGCTGGGCGGGACTTCCGGCACGGCCCTTTCTGTCCCTCCCGGGCCGACCCCACCCCTCCCCACTGTCGCAGCTCCTCCTACTTCAGGTTCCAGATTTCTCTCCCCGAGACTCCTGCTCCCGAGGCTGCAGAAACCCTTGATTGGTTCCTGGGCAGAAAAGGGAAAGTTCTAAACATGAACAGTAATTTTTGTAATTCTCTCGTCAGACTATTTTTTGACGTCTATTAATTAAGCCTTTCGTAGTTTTCTAAAGTTCTTAGTGTCAAAAGACAAAATTGCAAAAATTCAATTTAAAGGTCTTTATTGGCTCTTCTTTGCAATTCTAGAATTCTATAAAATAGAATGTTTTGACGAATTGAGCAGAGATTGGTTTTATAGACAAATAACAGCTCAGGAAAGCAGAAACAAAAAACAGTAGATTGGTGGTTTCAAAAGTTCTTTCCTTGTAAAGGTTAAAGTAGGAGCAATTTCCTTCTCATGCAGACTGAAACTGGCCTGTTCGAGGATTTGGCTATTATTTTGAACAAGTAGGCTAGGCAGCTAACTGAAATTATGCAGTGCGGAAGGTCTCTTGGAAGCCTCCATTTGACCTTCTTGTGACCTTAAGGGTGAAAAGAAGGAAAAGCTGGATGGACCAGAATGAGGGCACAACCAATCAGAACACTGCATGCACAGGCAACAGGGATGCTGCTTTCTGCACACCTAATTAGCATAGAGACTGAGCAACATCCTGGAGAAAATGGATGAAAATTTCAGACTTTATCACTTCTGGGGCTCAGCCTTTCTGAGACTTCTCTTGTATAGGGACGCTTTTCTTCTCTTTTCCTCTCTACTTAATCAACCTCTGCTCCTGTGCTCATTCTGTTGTCTGTGGCACAGGTAACTCACGCCTATAATCCTAGCTACTCAGGAGGCAGAGATCAGGAGGATTGCGGTTTGAAGCCAGCTGGGGCAAATAATTCTAGAGACACTATCTCAAAAAAAAAAAAAAAAAACTATCACAAAAAAAAGGGCTGGTGGAGTGGCTCAAGGTCTAGGCCCTGAGTTCAAATCCCAGTGCTGAAAAAAAAATTGGGAAACAAAGACTGTGGGCTCATACAGAGTGCATCCAGAACAGTTTCTCTCCCGATTGTTTGGAAGTTATTTTGGCTTTGGGGGCCTGAAACTTCATCATGAGTAACTCCATTTGGTTTGGTCTGTTAAGTCTACTGCAAGAGCTCAGCTCAAACAAATGAACTAAATTTTATTTAACATTAGAAAAGCATGTCCCAGGTGGATCCTGAAGAAAGTATGACAGTTTTGGTCAGAGAATCCACAGACCTGTGACAACCTGACAGGCATTTACACTTCCTTCTATAGCCCAGCCTTCCTTCTAAAGGTTTGAGGCCCTCAGCTTGGGTAACAGATGTCAAAACTGTCTCAATTCTGGGACTTAGCCATTTCTGTCATGTGCATCATATATTTAATAGTGTGCTCTAGAGCGATCAAAGTTCTACAAAAGAAGTTCACAAGAATATACTTGGGGTAAAGAGGGGCAGGAAAAAAAGAATATACTTTAATGTTGCCATTAAATGCAGACACACTAAATTACCTTAATGCTATTTGTGAGACAAACTTTGTGTTTTGACTTGGATCTCATCCCTGAGATACCTCATTTTGAACATGCAAATATTTCAAAATCTCAAACATTTTGGATAATGGATAATCAACCTGTACATTAAAAATTGTATCTTTCGTTGGCAGTACTGGGGTTTGAACTCAGGGCTTCATGTTTGCAAGCAGGCACTCTACAGCTTGAACCACACCTCCAGACCATTTCACTCTTATTTTGGAACGGGGTCTCATGAACTGTTTGCTTGGGATGCCCTCCAATAGTGATCCTTCTCAAGTAGCTAGGATTACAGGCATGAGTCACTGGTGCTGGCTGGAAATTATCTTCATGAGTGTTGTTTCTTTAAAAACAATCAATCTTTTGAGTTACAAGTTTATATAAATGCTGTCATTATTTACTAAACAAAATTTTCTACAAATACATTTTAAATCTTCCTCCCTAACCCAAAACTGAGATGGATAATACAACACCTATACCTAGGATTATAAAATCTCTTATAAAGATATATTCATCGATCTTAATTTCTGACCCAGAATATACAGCTGTTTGTTTTTTTTTTTTTTTTTTTTTTTTTTACAATAAAGGCACCTGCACACACATGTTTATTGCACCATTATTCACAATAGTCCAGCTATGGAAATAGCCCCGATGCCCTAAAACTGATGAATGGTTTAAGAAAATGGAATTTTATTCAGCCATAATAAAGAATGAAATTTTGTCACTGGCAGGTAAATGGATGGAACTGGAGAGCATCATATTAAGTAAAGTAAGTCAGGTTCAGAAAGACAAAAGTCACATGTTTTCTTTTGTGTGTGAAAGATAGATCCAAATACAAATATGAGCATTATCATATATACATATATATGTAGAACATGTTTAAAATAGTAGGACTAGTAGAGACTAAGGGAGGAGGGAGAATAGAAGAGAATGATGGAATGAGTAATATTGAAGTACATTACATCTGTGTAGGAACAAGACAAAATGAAACACACTGAAAACTGTTGAACAATATGGGGTAGGGAGAAAAAGGAAGGAAGAGTAATAGAGGAGGTTACACAATATATTTATAGGTAAAATACCAAGGCAATATACCAAGGCAATTTCTGCATTGAATTCCAAAGTTATCCTACTTAAGGTGTTTATATATCTTACTATAACTGATATCTGAGGCCTATAATTTGCTTTGGATTTATGTTTCTGTTTTTCAAACAGGGTCTCCCTGTGTAGCCCAAGTAGCCTGGAACTCACAATCTTACCACCTCAACCTCCCCAGAGCTGGGGATTACAGGCGTGTGTCAGCAAGCTAGGTTTTCAGGCTAGGGTAGTCTTCCTTCCCACCTTAGGGTACCCACATTACTGTCTGTGCTCAGGGAATGAAAACACATTTAACATGACTACACAAGTCTATCCAACAAATCTGTTACTTAAGTAATATACACTTAGTGGTAAAGATTTTAAGAACTTGCTTTTTGGCAGGGGACGGCGGGAAGGGGGTGCAAAGCAGGGACTGGGGTTTCAGTTCAGGTACTTTACTGCTTGAGCCACACCTCCAGCTCTACGAACTTGCTTTTTTTTATCCTAACCAGGGCCCCTTACTCTTGCTAACTTCACCAAGAGCTCGTTGCTCTTGTGAAATGGTAAAGACTGCCTGACTGCCATGTTCTGGATTCAGCCTCAAACAGATGGCCATAGCATCCATGCATCCAAACCATCCATCCATCCATCCATCCAATTGATTTGTGGTGCTAGGGGTTGAACCCAGGGCTTTGTGGAGTGCCAGGCAAGCACTTTACCACTGAGCTATATTCTCAGCCCAAGTCACAGCACTCAAGAGATAGGAATAAAAGTCCTTTATTTCACAAGGAAGCCAAATAACAAGAACTAGTGTTGTGGACTCTTGAAAACCCCTACCAGTGACCATATTAGCCGAGTCACCTTTTTAAAAAGAATCATCTGGAAATTCAGTGGTTTAACAGGCTGAATCTCTTGGGAGGTAGATTAGAATTGGAGCTATTGCCAGTCTGCCCTTGAGGGTGGCTAACATTTCTGTCCCTTAGAGCTCTTTCATGGCTTTTTCTCATTTATATCAAAGTCCAGAGATCAATGTGCAAAAGTGTGCCCTGTTAGAAATCTTTTTTAAACTAGCAAAATAGAAAAAATAAAAAGCAATAAAATAAAAAATAAAAATAAAAAGAGAATGTGTTACTTCTTTCCTGAAACAGGAAAAAAAGTGGCCCTTTGCAATGCTTTTAAGTGTGACTGCAGGTATAAGCCACAAACTTCAAGGGCAAGTAAACCAGCTTTTGTTGAAAGTCTGCTATAAGGCATACACTCAATGCCATTCTTTCTGTGGATGTGAAATCTACAGCTTCCCAGAATACCAGGTTAAATTCATGCCTACTTATGCCACAAGCTGTCCCTTGGCCACAGTAGCTCTCAGAGGCCTCCTTCCTCATTTGTTAGCCTTTCCTGCCTGTCCCACCAAGGTAGCCCTTAATGCAGAATCACAAACTGGGTTTCAACTTTTTTCTCCCTAGTAGAGGAAGGGGGCAGAGATCATTTGATCAAGATGTCCCTTTTCATGTTGTTAACAGCAGTAACTTTTCAAAAATTTAACTGGGACCAGAGAGGAAAAAAGACCCAGGAGCACAATCAATGATTGGTAAATGGCACTAAGAGCCTAGCTGAGAACTGAAAAAAATCAAAGTCTAAATGAGCATTTGTTTAGTGCAGTGCCCAACACAGTGCTGTACTGGCATTTTAACAGAAATAGCTCAGTCTGCAGCTATTCACCCAAACATTTGTGGTCTTCGTGTGGGAAAAAAAAAAAAGGTGTGGGGGTATACATCTATAAGCTCATGGAGGTTGAGGCAAGAGGACAAGCTTGAGGCCAGTCTGGGTAATTTAGTAAGGCTCCATCTCAAAAATAAAAGGGCAGGGGACATATCTCAGTGGTGAAGTGCTTACCTAGCACGCTTGAGGCCTAGAGTTCAATCTCCAGTACAAAAGAGCACAGGTCTTTAGGAAAAAAGACCTTTGAATATTTGTGTCTTCTCAAGATTTTTATGTTAAAGTCCTGACCCCAGAGTGAGGACATTTGGAGATGAGAATTTTGGAAGTAACTGGAGTTAAATAAGGTCTTTAGGGTGAGGCACCAAGAGCTTGCTCTCTACCTCCCTGTGTTCAAAGAGGTTATGTAAGCACAGTCAAAAGGTGACCATCTACAAGCCAAGAGGAAACCTCAGGATGAAATCTACCTTGCCAATCTTGATCATAGACTTCCTGACCTCCAGAATGTTAAGAAATAATTTTCTATAGTCAATGGTGTTTTGTTAAGAAAGCCTGGACACATACATTATAATACCACCCCAGGAAATATACTGAATTTATGAAATAATTAGTCTATAGAAAGGAAGATCAGAAAGAGTGAGCTTTGCACATTAAAAATATGATGGGCACTGGTGACTCACATCTGTGATCCTAGCTACTCAGGACGCAGAGATCAGGAGGCTCGTGGTTTAAAGCCAGTACTGGGTAAATAGTTCAGGAGACTGACCCTATCTTGGAAAAACCATCACACACACAAAAAAGGCTAGCAGAATGGCTCAAGCGGTAACAGCACTTGCCTAGCAAGCGTTCAAACCCCAGTGCTGCCAAAAAAAAAAAAAAAAAAGTCGAAATATGTTCAAAAGGTAAAAGCAAAAGGCAAAGAGAAGGAAAGCAAGAAAGGTAAGAAAAACAGAAGATTGTTAGAACTCGAGAGAAGCTATGGAAAAGAAAAATGAGTACAAGACAATTTCCCAGAACTGAAGAAAATGAGTCAGTCACCAGGAGGGCCTGCTGACTATCCCAAGTCAATAAATATATACACACTCATGCCAAGGCACTTCTCATGGCAAAACTTCAGAACAAAAGTTTTGGAGAGGCAGCAAAATGGGTCATATAGAAAGATCTGCTATCAGAAACAACAGGCTATAAGACAATGAATGCCTTAAAAAATTCTCCAAGGTGATTTCCAACCTAAAATTCTATATTGTCAGTTACACGTGAGGCATTTTCAGATTTGCAACTTAAAATTTTTACTTCTCAACTATCCTATTCTCAGGATGCTCATGGAAGAAGTACTGTTCTGAAATGAGGAAATAAACCAAGCAAGAAAAGGTAACGTGCAGGAAACAGGATCTAACTCAGGAGAAACAGAAAGTTGAGTCTCAGACACCAGAGGTGCAGAAGGTCTGGAGAGTAACAGCATGAACTGCAGCCCCAACACAGTTCCAGGAAAGACAAAGGAACTGTTAGTACTTGAGACATATAACTACAGAAGACAGTTTTAGAGGGCTTTCTCAAGCTTTTGGTGAGTTTGGGAAAATCTAGTGACAGGAACATAGAAACTTTCAAAGGAACCAAGACAAGAAAATTAACAACAGGAGAAGCAAAGAGTTGTACAATAAAGGAGACATAATGATAAGAAACCATTAACTACTAATCTAATGAAAAACTGCCACCTCTTGATTAGAAGACTACAGGGGAAAGGGGGCATGGGGTAGTACAATACCCAAATGCCTGCATGTCTTAACATAAAATTATTGAGGGAAAAACGGAAATACCAAGAAATACCTAAGTACATAATTTAGATCAATACATCCTAAAAACAGCTCAGAGTTAAAAGTAAATGTTTGAGTTGGGTCTCACTATGTTAAGTAGACTTCCCCTGAACTCCTGGGCTCAAGCAATCCTCCTTCCTCAGTCTCCCTAACCAGTTGGGACTACAGGAGTATACTACATGCCTAGCTATTCCATTTTTCTTTTTTTTTTTTTTTTTTTGTTTGTGGTACTGGAGTTTGAACTCATGGGCTCCTGCTTGCTAGGAAGGTGCTCTACCACTTGAGCCACTCTACCAGCCCTGTTTTTTGTTTGTTTTCTTTTTACATTTACTTACATGTGTATACATTATTTGGGCCACTTTTCCCCTAACCCAGCCCTGGTTTTGTGTGTGTGTGTGTGTTGTTTTTTTTTTTTTTTTGAGATGAGGTCTCATGAACTATTTGCCTGGGGCTAGCTTTGAAACTCAATCCTCCAGATCTCTGCCTCCCCAGTAGCTAGGATTATAGATGTAAACCACCAGCACTGGGCCCCATTCCCATTGTTCTCTTAAGCATTCAACCTTAATCCGTTTACTTCCACACAGATCTCATGCTGTCATGCCACTGCTTTCTTTCTTTCTTTTTTTTTTTTGGTAGCACTGGAGTTTGAACTCAGGACCTCATGCTCCTCCAGTCTGGCATTGCTTTCTTAATTTGTCTTAAACACTTTGTGGCTTTGTCTTCTTCAAGAATCCTTTGGTGCATTTCCTCTAAGAAGTATTTATTCCATCACACAGTGATGTCCCTCTTATAAATGTACCCAATCATATATTGCCTGGTGATAGGAGTTTTATTGTAATCTCACTATTTAACTTTTGCATTTTGATTTTTCTCTGTGGATGCTTCCTCAGGTTTCCATGGTCTTGCCTTGTGGGTTGCTTTCTGGACCCACAATCATTTGTTCTGCCTGAGGCTGACCAGTTGTATTCCTGGAATCACTGGCTCTTCTGCCACTTCTGAACATTGAGGAATGGGCTTCTAGTGGCTGCTAGGGAGGCCTGAATGATATATACAGCAACATTGGGCAATTGAAAACTGTGATTGAGTGAGCACAACAGATAAAGAGATAAAGTCTCTTCCTTCCAACACATGGTTTTTCCAAACAGGAGTATGGAGAAGAACAAGAGAATGGATGTATCTGCTGACAACTTGTTATGTCTCTCATGGCACATCTTCAAGGAGGGGTCAGCAAAGTAGTACATCGCCTCCTATTGCTTCATATCCTTCTCTACCTCATTTCTTTCCAGCATGTTACCTCACTCTGACTGTTGAAGACATACCACCCAAATAAAGCATCTATATTTAATCCTCGCCTTAAGAGTCTGCATTTTCTAATATTCCTGTTATTCACAAAACCTAGCACATGGCCTTCGGTGTCCAATAAATATTATAAAAAAGTGATCAATGCAACTGATACTGTACAAAAGAGCAAATGTACATCAATATGTAATTTATAGCTTCTCATGGTATATGTTAGGTAGCTTTTATTGTTTAATTGCCTTTTTTTTTTAGTCGTGGTACTGGGGTCTGAACTCAGGTAGTCACACTTGCTTGGCTGGTACTCTACCACTTGAGCCACTCCACCAGCCCTGGTTTGTGTTGGATATTTTTAAGGCAAGGACTCACAAACAAACTATTTGCCAGGACTGGCTTCGAACCTCAATCTTCCTGATCTCTGCCTCCCAAGTAGCTAGTATTACAGGTGTGAGTCATTGGTACCTGGCATTTAATTGCCTTTTAATAGGTAATACATTTGTGTAGTTCAGAATTCAAAATGTTTATAATTGATTAATCCTGAAAAGACTTCCTCTTACCTTTTATTCCTAATGTCTTAGTTTTCTTTCCTAAAACAACTAACATTATCACATTTTTTTTTTCCAGTTCTGGGGCTTGAACTCAGGGCCTATACCTTGAGCCACTCCACCAGCCCATTTTGTGAAGTGCTTTTTCAAGATATGGTCTTGCAGAACTATTTTCCCAGGCTGGCTTTGAACTGTGATCCTCCTGATCTCTGCCTCCCGAGTAGCTAGGATTATAGATGTAAGGCAGCAGCACCCAGCTAATATTATCACTTTTTAATGTATCTCTGCAAAAGTTTATAGATACCTAAATAACATGCAACCTATACGCTCATATATATTTTTTTGGTTCTGCCCGTTTCTCTACTTAGCATATATAGGAAATGAATATTTAAATAAAAACAACACTATAGCTTGGTGATGACTCCATATTATTTTTTCAGGCTTTTTTTTTTTTTCATGGTATAGGGTTTGAACTTAGGTCCTCACGCTTGTGAGATAGGCACTCTACCATGAGTCACACCTCCAGCCCCCATAATGTTTTCTTTATTTTTTTTCCTTTGCTTATTTTTTTGTGGTGCTAGGGATTAAACCCAAGGCTTCACTCATGCTCAGCTATACCCCCAGCACCATTCCATGTCATTATTCAAAGAGCTTTTTCATTATTTTATGTACTCATTCAGAAAATATTCATTGTATCAATTTGTCATAATTTCTCTATAATAATCCCCTCACTTTTTGCTATAACTATAAGCCTGCATGAATTAACACTGCAAACTTTCTTTTGCCACTTGCAAGATAAACTGCTGGAAGTGGAGTCACTGGGTCATAAGGTGACAAGTTAGTTTTTGACTGATGGTATCAACTCTTTTAGGCTTGACTTTTGCTCTTCAGGAGTCTTCACTGCTTTCCCCTTCTCAATGACCTGAACAGCCCTCAGCAAACCATCCTGCAGAGCCTGGTTCTTTACCACATTAGTGATCACGAACACAACATCTCTGATGTACATCTGTCTCACTTTAGCTGCATAGTATTCTGCCCTGTTACCGTACGCAACAAAGAAGGTACAAAGAGCGGTGATATCTCCTTCTTGCAGCCCACATTCCTCCAGAACAGACTCCCACGCAGCCCTTATGCGCTTGTTCTTGATTTTGCGCCTAAGGACAGAGGCTAAGGTGGGAAGTCCTCTCACCAGGTCTGGCAGCTTCTCCAGCACTCGAGTATGCAAGCAGATGAGTACTTCAATGACGTAGCTGTTTAAAATATTCAATTCCATTGAAGTGAACCTAAGGAAAACATGGAGAGCTTCTGAAGCAGAACACTATGTATAAATATAAATTGCATTTGACTAGGATAACAATACAAATGCACTAGAAATCACAACTGTTGTCTTTTAGAAAATAATCACTTTAGAATTTTAGCTCACACTAAACTGCATAGCTGAGTTCTCAGGTCACCTATACTTTCAGTTCCTTAATGGAAAGAGAGTTTTATTATTTATTTCTGCCAATCAGACTTTGGCAAGTAAGACTCTAGGATGAGATGTTTACTGCAGTGCCTAGAATATAAACAGGCACTCAAATGAATCTTTTCTGAATGAATGGACCAAGGAAATGTAATACCATCTTAATCTATTGTTGGAACCATGTTAAACTCAAATTGGGAAGCTCTCACAAGGCCACCAAATTCTGTTGATTTCTCAATCAGTACTCACTTGAGTGCCAAACTGATGCCCACATCTCATCTTGGGCTGCTTGACTTGCCAAAGTCTTGCTATGATATTCAAATCTCTGTGTCAGATTATCCTTGGTGGTGTCCAGTTCTTTGAACTGTGCTTCTATAGCTTGGAGTTTGTGGTCTACTCTGGAGGATGAAAGAATCGAGGGTTAGTTTCGGTCAGTGACAAAACTAAGGTTTTGCATGGCTCAAGAGGGGAACACCTGCCTGGCAAGCATGAAGCCTTGAATTCAAACACCAGTACCACCCAAAAATGTAATAATAATAATAAGTTAGTTTTCTCTATCCTGTTTTGACTTTCTAAATCCTGTTTTTTTAAGGATCAGCTTAAATTTCATTGCCTTCTTGAATTCCCTCTCTAACTGGAAACCTCTTTGCCCTCCTTCTCTTACAGGGACTCCCTCTACCACCAGTGCTCACCTCCTGCTTTACTTTTAAGTTTACTTTTCATAAACTAAACTGTAAATTCTAGGCAAGGGGAAATCAGAGACCATTTCTTAGAAATTTGTATGCCAGTCTCCCAATATCTAGCAAAGGCCTTACGCAGAAGTAATAATATACTTTTTTTTTGTTTTGGTGGCATGGGGATTTGAACTCAGGGCCTCACATTTGCTAGCCACTCCACCACCCCCAGAAGTAATAACATATTTCTGTATAATATGTTGACATCTGTGATGTGATGTGAATGAGATGCTGAACTGTACAACTGGACATGGGGGTTTAAGTAGCTCTAAATAGTCCTGATTATCAGAAGGCACTGTAGCACTGGAATTATGTCTAATTGAGTCATACATCTCACTTGCCTGAAGCCACCCACATTGTCTGAATTTCATGAAGGAAGTGATGTATAAACATATGTGTTACCTCACCAATGACCTGAATACCTCTATGGTTGCCCAAGAATCTGTCTTTGACCATTTTCTCCTCTTGGTCTTCAATTTCTCCCAAGGCTAATTCAGATTCAGGTACCACGTCTCTACTAAGCACTAGACCTAATACTTCCACCAGGATGGTGATGTCAAACTCAACTGTATTAAACTGAACCTACTAATACCCTCTCTCCTGTCTTCAGAAACTACTGTGGAGAAAATGCTTCACTGCTTTGGATTTTATTTACACAAAGATGAGATACAAAATGTGCATTTTTAGGAGTATAAGCTTGCATGAATTCATATAGCAGCAATCTGTGTTCAAATCAAAACCATGTAATCTGGCATACTGTTTATATTAACTTTTAGACCTTTAAGACAATTTTACTATAGGTCTTCTCTAGCTTGGACTTTAGAAGTGATCTTTTATGCTTGTCAATCAGCATAAAAGTTTATAATTGCAGCAATTCTTCGGAATTCTGTCACCAAAGGGCATGCGTAGACCATTCCATTACATGTTAAACAGCATGCAAATCTGAGTGCAGTCCATTTCTTACCACAATTCCCTACCTCAGTTGATGACTTTACTGCTTATCCAATTGCTTAAATAGAAATCTTAGAATAATTCTCAACTTTGTCCCCCCCATCCATTAATGTCTCTTTCATCTATCTCTTCCTCTGCATGCCCAGCAAGATCTTCATGATCTTTCACTTGGACCCAGGATTACAGTAGTCTGACTGTTCCATTGCTTCAGTCTCCAATCCATTCTCCAGACATATTGTTCTAAAGTACAGTTCTGCTAATGTAACCCAGCTAATGTTGCATCTTTTAATCCACCTTGACTTACCCAGTGTTAGCTTTAGAGGCAAAGTGGATCTCCCTAGCAGAAAACATACAACCCTTTACCGTTTGCCCCCATCTTCTGCCACTAGTCACTCATATGCAATCCAGGCTTGCATATACCTTCCATGTACAGTTTCCTTTCTCTAGAATTCCTTTCCATGTTTTATTTCCTTAAGCGTTCCTCTATGAAGAGACCTTTTCCTAGTATTAATGGCAAAGTAGAATGACCCCCCCCACTCGTGTTCTCTTACCCTTTTGGAACATCACCATTATCAGGTCACCTGCCTTAAGTCATAAGTTGTCGTTGGTTTTTTTTTTTTTTGCTAGTGCTGGGATTTGAACTCTGGGCTTCACACTTGCTAGGCAAGTGCTCTGCCACTTGAGCCACTCCCAATCTAAATTCTAAGTATTTTCTAGTAATTCTGTCATTCCTACAGGCTGTATACTCCTTGAGGACAGAAAACACATTTTACATATTTTTATTAACTTAGCATTTAGTGTATGCATGAATTGAATGGAGTTATAACACCTGGGAGCAGAGACATTTTTTTCTTGATTGCCTTATTATTTATTTATTCATGCTGGGGATCAAACCCAGGGTCCTCTGTCATGGTAGGTAAACATTCCTACCATTGAGGTAAATCCCAACCCCCAGACTTTTATCATTAATTTACAAACTTTTGAACCTGGAAGACTTAAGCCACTTTAACAGAAACAGTTCTAATTGGTATGTCTGTCCCTTCTTTGCTTATTTCTATTTTTCATTCTTCTCTTCCCCATCTTCCAAGAATAGCAAACCCATGCTTATTCCCTCCCTGTAGCCCTTAGCAACCTTTTCATTGCCTCCTTCAAGGATATCAGGGTTGTGGTTTCATTGTTCATCTTCTTAAGGCAAAATGAAAGGAAACAAAACAAAGCAAAACAAAGACCCAACAGATGTTCGAATCCAGGGTTTTCTGCTGTTTCTCACTCAGCAACAGGGAGCAGCGATGTGAGCGGTCAATCTAAATTCTGCCTGAAAGGTCACTCGGTGCCAGAAGCTTTTAATAGCTCATACATCCAAATATAGTTTCAAATAACTGATTGTATGAACACAGATGTCCTGGAATACACTATAACATTTGCCTTTGAAAACTGACCCATAGTACATCAGCAGAGAATGACAAACAGCCACATTCAATCTTAATTCTGTGTTATATTCTGGTAAGCAAATGCATTCATTGTTCAAGGATTACATTTGATGGAAATGTTTTTTAGCTTCATTATTCAATTACAATCTAAATTAAGTTTAAAGAGTGTCCGAGATCTTTTATGATGATGATGATTTTTATTTATTTTTTTTGGCAGCACTGGGATTTGAACTTAGGATCTTGTGCTTGCTAGTGGCTTGAGCCATTCCACCAGCCCCTTTTTGTGTTGGCTATTTTTGAGATAGAGTCTTGCAAACTGTTTGCCCAAGATGGCTTTGAACTGTGATCCTACTGCTCTCTGCCTCCTGAGTAGCTAGGATTACAGGTTGCTGAGAAACCAGCACCTGGCTGTTGATGATGATTTTAAGCTAAATGTGTAAGTACGTTTTTTTTTGTTGTTATTGGTGGTGGTGGTACTGCTGTTTGTATTAAGGGCCTATACCTTGAGCCACTCCACCAGCCCTATGTTTCTTGTGAAGGTTTTTTTGGTTTTTTTTTCAAGATACGTTCTCATGGACCATTTGCCTGGGTTGGCTTTGAACCTCGAGCCTCCTAATCTCTGCCTCCTGAGCAGCTAAGATTATAGGTGTGAGCCACCAGAACCTGGCCTAGTTTTTTTTTTTAAATAGGCTTCCGCATTTATTTATTTATTTTTGGCAGTGCTGCGGTTTGAACTCAAGGCCTTATGGTTGCTAGGCAGGTACTCTACCACTTGAGCCAACTCTTCCAGCTACTAAGTAGTATTGAGAGCTTCTAGTATTAGTCTAGGGACTGCATATAAAAATACACATAAAAATGGGATTACTCCTGTCTGGTCTGTTTTCAGCCTATAGTCCCAGCCACTCAGGAATGCATGAGTCTAGGAATTCAAGGATAGCCTGGGAAGCACAGTAAGACCTTATCTCAAAAACAAAAACAAAAAAACAGGATTCCTGTTTTTATGGAATTTAAAATCTAATTTTGGAAACAGAACATATACTTAAAAAGAGGAAATATATAAAACATTGTATGCTGAATATGTACAGACCATAAAAAAAGAGTAGGAGGCTGAAATCTCTTTTTTTTTTTGTGGTACTAGAGCTTCACCTTGAGCCACTCCACCAGCCTTATTTTTGTGAAGGGTTTTCTTTTCTTTCTTTCTTTTTTTTAATGTAAATGTGTGCCCTTAAAGCTTTATTTATTTACTTTAGCAGCACTGAGGTTTGAACTCAGGGCCTCATGCTTGCTTGGCACTTGCTTTTACCACTTGAGCCACTCCACCAGCCCTTGTGAAGGGTTTTCGAGATAGGATCTGGTAAACTATTTATCCAGGCTGGCTTTGAACTGCAGTTCTCCTGATCTCTTCCTCCTGAGTAGTTAGGATTATAGGTGTGAGCCACCAGTGCCCAACATGTCAATTTCTGCAGCGCTGGGCTTTGAACTCAGGGCCTTGTGCTTGCTAGGCAGGTACTCAACTACTTAAGCCACAGTCTCAGCCCGAGACTGAAATCTTGAGTCATGAGGAAAATGCTCACACTGAAGGTGGCACTTGACCTAAAAGGAAAATGTAGTTCCTTGATCACCAGAAAAAAGGGTATGAGCAAAATCACACAGGTGGCAAGGTAGTTGAGGTGTTCAGAAAACAATGTGTGGTTTTGTTGTTGTTTTCAGATAGGGTCTCATTATGTAGCCCAGGCTGGCCTTGAACTCACCCTTTCTAGGCACTGAGAATACAGTGGAGTAAGGCTCTCACAGCCAGCATAAGCAGGTCTGTTGACCTGACTAGGGGTGACTGGGGATTAAGAAAAAGACACAAAGACAGACACAGAGAAAAGCTGGAATCAGGTTGGTCCTACACTCCTAATAAGATATGCCAGAGGCCCCATCTGCCTCCAAGTGCATTTATTTATACAGCATGTATGAGAGAGTGGGGTGAAATGCAAGTCAAGTTCTCATGGGTCTAGTCGCATAGGTGGCAGAACAAAGAAGCTGTGGTATGTTTTTATTTAGTACAGACTGTCCTGACCAGGTCAGCGTGTCCTGTTTTTCTTGCAAGGCAGAACCTTGCCTCCCCTTGGCTGGTCCGTGCCTATCAGCCAAGAGGCCCTTGACATAGCAATGCTCATGTCAAGGCCTACTTCCACTGCCTCAGTCTCCCACATAAGGCAAAAGCCTTCTCCCCAGGCAGCATACTAACAGGGAAACAGCAAATAAAAACTACAGAAGAGTAGATAGGGAGCTGGTGATGTGGCTCAAGTGCCTAGCAAGTGTGAGGCCTTGTGTTCAAACACCAATAGCACCAAAAAAAAAATAATAATAATAATTAAAAAAGAATGGATAGAGATTACATCAAACTAAAAGGCTTCTGCACAGCAAAGGAGCAGTCAACAGAGTAAAAAGACAACCTACAGAATAGGAGAATCTATTTACAAACCATATATCTCATAAGACGTTAATATTTATAACATATAAGGAACCAAAACAAAAAAACCCATCAATAGCAAAATATTACTACTACTACTACTACTAATAACCCAATTTGAAAAAGGTCAATAAGCTGGGCACTGGTGGTTTATGTCCGTAATCCTTGCTGAGTTTGAAAGAATCTTGGTTCAAGGCCATCCTGGGCAAATAGTCCACAAGACTCCATTTCCAAAATAACCAGAACAAAATGGACTGGAGGTATGGTTCAAGCATTAGGGCACCTACTTTGTGAAGCCATGAGCTCAAAACTCCTGTCTCATGAAATAAATAAATAAATTTAAGCGTTGGGGGTGCAGCTCAAGAGAGAGAAGCCACAGGTAACAAAACAGGATTGAAGGGGACATAATTATATATGTAAAAAGACACTGTAAAGCTCAGAGGCAGGAGGATCTTGAGTTTGAGGCCAGCCTGGTTCCAAAGTGAAAGCCTGTCTAGAATAAAACAAAAGAAAAGGAAGGAGGAGGAGAAGGAAGAGGGAAGATGGGAAGGAGAAAAGAAGTTGCTAAGAGGAACTGCACATGTAGTCCCAGCTACTCAGGAGGCTGAGGCAAGAGGATCCTTGAGTCCAGGAATTCGAGGCTAGCTTGGGCAACATAAAGAGACTATCTCAAAACAAAACAGCAAATTCATGACAATAAACTTGAAAATCCACATGAACATGCAGGCTGCTTTCATGTGCCAATAGCTGGTTTCTTTTTATTCCGATAGTATTCCATGGTATGGGTGTATCACAGTTTAATAATTAACCTATTGAAGAAATCTAGGCTGCTTCTAGTTTTGAGCTGTCACAAATAAAACTGCTATCAACAATTGTATGTGCCATTTCTCTGGGATTAATGCCCAGAAGTGCAGTTGCTGGGTTAAACTTGATGTAGCATGTTTAGTTTTGTAAGAAACTGCCAAAATGTTTTTCAAAGGGTCTAACCCACTCACTAGCAACATGAGTATCCAGTTTCTCCACAACCTCACCAGCATTTAGTGTTGCCATTTTTTAAAACTTTTAGTCATTCTGACAAGTGTGCAAATCAATTTTAAAAAAGGTTTCACCACATTATTTTGTATTCTCAAAGGATGAGTCTCAAACTATGTGATAACATGTTAAATGGATCCTGTAACTGGTACTAAGCCCAGCTTTTTGAGGCATAGGATCTAGTCATTTAGGGTTTTTTTTGCAAGATTTAAAAAAATCTTTTTTATTATGAACTGTAAGTATGGCTCACATGGTAGAATACCTGCCTACCAAGCATGAGACCCTGAATTTAAACACCACAAAAAAAGAATGTCATTGGGAAAATTTTTTATTAGCATGAATTAATTGTACAAACAGGTTTCATTGTGAAATTTACATAACACATATAATGTACCTTGATCAAACTTACCCTGTCTTTCTTAACCTCCCCTCTTTTTAAACAGTTTTTATATTGTACTTCAATCATATTCACTCCCTGTTGACTTTCCTTTCCCCTTTCTTCCCTCTTGCTGGTTCTCTCAATCCAAACATTCCTCCTTATTATGTCTCTTTCTCCATCTCCTTCTCCTTATTTTTATTTTTCCTCCTACTCCTCCTTCTCCACCTCCTTCTTCTTTTTGGCCTATATTCTTCTGGATTTTTAAATTAGTTGCTTTATATAATAGATATTAAGATGTGGTCTTGCTATGTTACCCAGGCTGGCCCCAAACTGCATCAACCTCCAGAATAGCTGGGACTATAGGCATGTACTACCACACCAAACTTAAGTTTTTTTTTTTTTTTTGCAGTGCTGGGCATTGAATCCAGGACCTTGCATATGCTGGGCACATTGTACCATTGATCTACATTCCCAGCCCCAAGCTTGCTCTTTCTTTCTTTTCCTTCCTTCCCTTCTTCCTTCCTTCCTTCCTTCCTCTCTTTTTTTTTTTTTGGTGGCACTGGGGTTTGAACTTAGGGCTTCATGATGTTAGCAGGCAGGTGCTTTTCCACTTGAGACACTCTGCTAGCCCTTTCTTTAGTTTTTTTTAAAGACAAGCTCTCACTATGTAGTTCAAAGCTGACCTCGAACTTGAGATCCTCCTGTCTCAGCCTCCCAAGTGCCCAGCCTTATATTTTAAAATGAAAAAAAGTGAATCTGATTTGTGTCCAGAGTTTTGTAGCACTGGTCTCAGAAGATAGAAATTTTGAAGAGAAAGTCATCCCATGCCAGGCACCAGTAGCTTATGTCTGTAATCATAGCTACTCAGGAGACAGAGATCAGGAGCCTCCCAGTTTGAGGCCAGCCTAGGCAAATAGTTCATGAGACCCTATCTCAAAAAAATCCATCACAAAAAAGGGCTGGTAGAGTGACTCAACTGGCAGAGCACCTGCCTACCAAG